GAGAGAGAGAGAATTTTAATATTTATTTTTTAGTTCTCGGCGGACACAACATCTTTGTTGGTATGTGGTGCTGAGGATCGAACCCGGGCCGCACGCATGCCAGGTGAGCGCGCTACCGCTTGAGCCACATCCCCAGCCCCTCTATCTTATTTATTCTATAAATATTTTGATGGCTTCCCTCAGATAAGATTTCTATTATCTTCACAAATTTTTAAACTAAAAAGCAGTTTAAAAAGTTTAGTGATAATGATTTAAAAGTTTTAGCTTATTTTCACTTTACACTAATGAAGTTTTACAATCTCTTTAAGGTGGATATTCTTCAGAATATTAAGCCTTTTCCTCTATGAAATTGGCAAACAATTGAAAAAACCATCATATTGTTGGTGAGGTTCAGAGAAACAGACCTGTTCACATATCACTGATGAGAATGTAATTTGGGACATAATTTTGGTCGATTTCCTAGGAATTTTTAATAGAAATATTAGAAAATGTTTATATATAATTTACTAACTGTTCATTGTGTTAAATAGGAGCAGCTTACCCACATTTAGTAGAAAAGTTGAAAAATTACATTAGTATTATCCAATGGCCTATCAAATATTCCATTTGTGGATGAATACAAATGACGTATTAAAGTATTGATGATATAGTGAAAAATCATGTTACACAATACCACCATGCAATACAATAACACCATGTTTATCTGTGTGCAGAAAAAAGACAGAGTATCTGGCTAAAGGCTAATAATGGCTATACTTGGTTGATTTACTTGGGTATACTTGGGTGATTTACGGGGAATGTTTATTTTTTTCTTATAATTTTCTCTGTTTTACAAGTTCTCTGTAATGAATTTGTATTATTTATTTAATGAATAAACTAAGTATTACAAGTTTCTTGACATATTTGTACCCTTTGGCCTACTACTACTTTTATTTTTAGGATAATATCCTAACCTAAGGAAATAAACAGATATATACATAAAAACATATGTATACCTATGCCCTTTTCTAACTTTTTTCAAATAATAAAGTACTAGAAGCAACTCAAATACCCAATATCAGGGAATTAGGGGAAAGTTTCTGTTCCTTCATACAACAGGATATTACACAATCTTTAAAATCTGATTCCTGTAAATATTTAAGAATGAGAAGCCCGGCCCGTAGTGCACGTACGTGTTTGTAGTATACATCCCAGCCTTTGGGGAGGCGAAGGAAAGAGATCTCAAGTTCAAAGCCAGACTCAGCAACTTAGCAAGACCTTGTCTCAAAATTAAAAAAAATAAAAATAAAAAGGGCTGGGGAAATGGTTCAGTGGTTAAGTACCCCTAGGTTCAATCCCTAATACCAAAAAGAAAGAAGAGAAAGAAAGAAAGAAAGAAAGAAGGAAGGAAGGAAGGAAGGAAGGAAGGAAGGACAATTCTGGCCATAGGATACAAGAAAGACATAATCGATTGATCCTTCCTTCCTTCCTTCCTTCCTTCCTTCCTTCCTTCCTTCCTCCCTCCCTCCCTCCCTCCCTTCCTTCCTTCCTTCCTTCCTTCCTTCCTATATAAAAAAACAATTCTGTGGATCTCATGCAGTTTTTCAATGTCTCTCTTTGATATACTGGACAAAATAATCATTGACATTTACTTATTGCTCACTTAGATACATGAAGGATGGGGAATAGCATTCAGGATGTAGTGTAACATCACTTTAAAAGCTTAGTATAAAATCATTGCCCAATGGCCCAAGAACATTACTAGTGAAATTCACTGAACTCCTAAACTTTAAAATCTGAAAATAGTTTGTGTAAATATAAAGGATGGGATGCAGTACATCATGATTCCTCCTGGTTGAGTGAAGGACTCCCTGTTACTGCTTTTCTCCCCCTCCAGGCATTTCATTCACTACAATTAAATTTTATGATAGGTTTTTAAAATACGGCAGGGCAAGAAGTTTTGCTTCTCAGARTTAACAGAGAGAACTGGAGAATTGAAACCCACGAGGACGGCAGATAAAGATCAGACCAATAAAATAACTAAAACGTAGAATGTGAAAAAAGAAAAGAACTRGAAAGGAGGTCTGTGGGCTTAGGGGAAGTAAAGCGAAACTTAATATTACTTGACTTGCCCGTTCTCCACGTAGGTGGTTCTGTAAAACCCCACCAGGGAGCCGTTCAGCCAGCCAGCGAACTCCAWGGTCAGGAGGTAGAGACCTTTGTCACCGACGGGGGCCAGCTCTTCTTCGGCCTCCACCACCACATACTCTTGCTTTTTATACTCGAAGCACCTCCTGAGCTTCACCTGCTCCCCCGAGGGCTTCCTGAGCTCGGGGAGCCGGGTGATCCAGGTGTCCCGCAGGTGCAGCCACAGGTGAGGCGTGCGTGCGCTCACGTTGATGGAGATGGTCACTCTGCCSGTGTACGTGTCCTGCTCCATCAGGGGCTTCACCTCCAGGTCGTAGTGCACGGGGTTGACGGTGGCCGGCAGTCTGAAATGTTTCCAATCTCCACTTGCATCTTCGCTGGCAGGACAGGCGCTGGGGCCCTGGGGAGGGGGCTCTGAAGGTCTGGCCGTGGGAGGAAGGGCCGAAGGGCTAGTCCGGGGAGGAAGGTGGGATGGCGCCGGAGTTGTGGGAGCTGTGCCGTCGGTGGAGTCACACGATCGGGTCAAGCCCACGGAGAGTCCCACTATTAACCCCACAGCCACCACCACCGCACAGATAATAACCACATGTTTGGTTTGAATGCAGTATCTCTTAGAGCCCTCTTCCTCTGCAAAGTTCATTTTTTTTTTGTTTCCGAAGTCAAATGTTACACATAAGAGGGATGTTAAATTTAACTAACGTCAGCTGACTTCCTTCTTAAATTGGAGAGAGTCCCCTGGTTTGGCAGCCTGTTTTCACTTTCACCACACCTCTTCCTCCGGCTTTCTTGCTTTCTTGCGTCTTTTCCAGTCCCTTCAAGTTCCCACCAGCCACTCCAGGGTGAGGGCGGAAACGAGGGGKGTGGGATGGGGACTCCAGAAGAGGAGCTGAATCCTAGACAGGGAATGACAGGAACATGGCCCCAGCTCCCCTTATAAACACCGCATCCCCACCCCTACCCCTCCCACACTGGAGCAAGTTAAACATAAAACAGGACTTCGCTTATCAGCCAAAGGAGAATGATTTTTCCCCCCCCCTAAAGCTCTGTCAGCAGCTTTCAAGAGAGAAAGCCTCTGGGTAAGAGGTGTGCTTAGAGAGAAAAACTCAACCTTTGCCACTAGGTCTTCTTCCTGTTGTGTTCACATTCTCTCTCTTAATTGAAGGGCTTCTTGAATTTCACTATTTCATCAGGTCGCTTGCCAAGAAACTGTTTCCATTCTTTTTCTTCCTATTATATAAACATTCAAATTCTGCCCTCTGGACAGTCCTTAGATTGGGTGCTTGGAGTAATTCATAAATCCAAGGACCACTTCTCCAAGCTGTAAGGCAAACCTATTGCATCTGGATGACAGAGGGTCCGGGCAAGTCACAATGACTTCCATATTTAGGGGTAGCTGTACATGTAGGCACCCAAGTCATTTGGAATAGTAACAATACAAAAATAATAATGCAAATCTTGACAACTTTTTATATGCCAGGCACTATGCAAAGTAATTTATAGAAGTTGTTGAAATTTTTCCAACAACCCTATGAGATTGGTGCTATTTGGATGACCATTTTTAGAGATGGTAAAACTGACATCTTAAGAGGTGTCATTGTTGAAGGTAGCATAATTGGTAAACAGCAAATTGGGGTTGGAATGCAGGTGTGTGTATCTAAAGTCTGTACATTTAATTACCACATTACACTGCTTCTATTCTGTAAAGAGGAGAAATATTCAAAGATTAAGTACTTGGGAGAAAATTATTTCCCAAAGTACAATCTATGGGTATTAATAGATATGCTGGCAGGACAGGGAATGCTGACCGAGAGAGTAAGTTAAAATCTTCTTTGCTGTCCTCCATTCTTTCACAGTCTCCAGATGGTAACACACATTGTGAGACTCTGAGAGGAAACACTATGTGGGTAATTTCCACGTTTAGTTAACAAAGTGAGCTTTTTTTGTTTGTGTTTTTGTTTTTTGGTGAGGGAACACCAAGGAACACACTCTAAGAAATGTTGCTTTAAACTATTCTGTTACAAACTAAACAAACGAATGAATGGGGGTGGGATGACCTATTTAAGGCAAAATAGTCTACTATATTCTAATATTTGCATTTTCTCATGAAATACTACTAAGAGGAAAAGAATTAATAGAAGGAGGAGATATGGTTTTGTGAATTATAGATCTATCTTGTATTCATTAATTTCACATTTGGAAGCAATTCTAAACTTTTTGAGATCGCCGTATGTTTAAACTCGGCAAATCAACTTTCTGAATGTTAGCCCTTTGAGCCCCCCCCCACTTTTTTTTTACTTTTTTAAAATTTATATATGACAGTGGAATGCATTATAATTCTTATTATACATATAGAGCACAATTTTTTCATATCTCTGACTATATACATAGTATATCCACACCAATTCGTGTCTTCATACTTGTACTTTGGATAATAATGATCATCACATTCCACCATCGTTGATTACCCTATGCCCTCTCTCTTCTCCTCCAACCCCTCTGCCCTATCTAGAGTTCATCTATTCCTCCCATGTTCCCTCTYCCTATACCACTATGAATCAGCCTCCTTATATCATTTGGTTTTTKGGGATTGGCTAACTTCACTTAGCATTATCTTCTCTAACTCCGTCCAATTACCTGCAAATGCCATGATTTTATTCTCTTTTATAGCTGAGTAATACTCCATTGTGTATATATGCCACGTTTTTTTTTTATCCATTCATCTATTGAAGGGGATCTATGTTGGTTCCACAGTTTAGCTACTGTGAATTGTGCTGCTATAAACATTGATGTGGTGTGTCCTGTAGTATGCTGTTTTTAAGTCCTTTGGGTATAGACCAAGGAGAGGGATAGCTCAAACCCCCTTTTTGTTGAGAAGATTGACATTTCACTAAATGTCTGATGTCAGATATTTTTGGACCCATCAGCTCCCTGGCAAGCGGCTGGAAATCATATGTGTGTCTCAAAAACAAAAGGCAAAATAGGAATCAAATTTACCTCAACATAATGAAAGAAAAAGTGAAGAGAAAAACTGTTTGGAAGAAGGTACATATGAAGTTATATTAAACTAGAAGCATTTTTTAGAATGATCAGATAAGMAAACATATACAAACTCCACCTCATCTAGAAAAACAGTAATATGAGACTCTATGCATAGACTGGGCAGAGAAGAAAATAGACCTTTGGGGTAGAATACACTTAATGATGACTGAGAATGGCTACTTGCTATAAAACATCCCTCCTACTCTGCCTGGAATTCCATCATAAAAGAGTCAGTACTTACATGCAGTTTTTGCTAGAAGAAATAAAATACATTAAATACATGTAAGTAGTGTGTGTGTGTGTGTGTGTGTGTGTGTGTGTGTGTGTGTAAATTTAGAGTCTATCGCCTAGTTCCAACCATGATATCTTAGTACCTGTCTGTGAAAGCTGACTGCATTCAGTGAGGGGCCCCGCATCCTAACTGGATCAGCATACTAAGGTTGCTAAATGTGATAGAAATAAGACACACAGCCAGACAGGTGGGGCAGGAGGGTGGCAGAGCCAGGACATACACTAAACCTATCTATGGTCAACAGGTTAGGATCTACTAAACATAAACTCACCTAGTTTTTATAATTCAACACTTGTTCTCATTGCAGCTGTACCTACTGTCCTTCGTGTCACTGACACTGGAAGGCAGAGTCTGTGGCAGCATCCTCTTGACCTTGAAAACCCTCATTCCATGCTCAATCCACAGTGACCATCAAGGCCACTACTGAGGAAAGAGAGAAGCTATTCCTACAAGGAGGCCAATGAACCATCACACAAGCCCTTCTAGATGAAATAGTTTATGTTGGATAAAGTTATGTTGAATGAATTTATATCAGATAAAAGTAATTTGAAATATTTTCTTTCTGTTTTTTTGTTTTGTTTTGTTTTGTTTTTGGTGCTGAGGAATTGAACCCAGGACCTTGCCTGTWTTAGGCAAGTGTTCTACRACTGAGCTCCAATCCCTACCCTGATAAAAGTAATTTGGAAAGGCTACTCCTGATCAGTTTTCACTAATTAGGTCCAGGCTAGTGATGGCTGTTCACTGTAGATTCTAGATCACAGCTCTCAAAGCTTTTGACAGTGTACATTATCATCTTCTATTTAAAATACAAGTCTGATATTCATTCTCCATTTGACGCAATATTGATGACGCATTATTGATGGCTTATGAATAAACAAATGAACAAGAAGGGGAAAGGAAGGCTGGAGTTGTAGCTCAGTAGCAGAGTGTTCACCTAGCACATGTGAGGCACTGGGTTCAATCTTCAACACCACCTAAAAAAAAATCTAAAAAAGAAAAAGAAGGGGAAAGGAACCAAGAATCCAGAATAGAAAGCATTCATGGACATAGTATATCAGAAATGTTGAGTTAAAATAGAATAATTACAACAAATAAAAATAAATAAATAAAACAAAATCAGTTAAAATTCCAGGAACACCTGGAAAGACATACCTTGGAGGGAAAGAGATCATATCAGGTCTTGAGTAGCAGAGGTACTTCTTAACCAATTCCTTCCCACAGCAGGTATGTTGTGATGTTGGAATCACCATAACACCGAAACACCTAGAGTGTGCCTCTTTCTCTCTCTTTTTATTTTTTCACTTGAAGCTTCAGCTTAAAGCTGTGAAGTCCAAGGAGTACACATTTGCACTGAGGCTACCTGGCCTTCTGTATACATGACGTGCCTTAGGCTCACCTGAGCACCAGAACCATCTCCAGAAGTGTTGTCAACGRCTGACACTACAGTGTGATTATTTGGCTGGTTCTTTATTTCTCTCAGTTGATCTGAGGTGAACCCCATGGTTAACCAACAAACAAAAGTGGCAAGCTGGGTTCACAACTTGGAAGAAGCAGAATCTGCCACTATTTAGTTGTATTTTTTTAGGGAAGATAATAACCAGTTCCTCTCCATCTTGCTATAGGGCCACTTTTATCACGCATGTAAATTCTGCATAATTCCATGGTTGATCCAGACATTTTCAAACTTACAGGCTTAGAATGGAAGCAGGGAGACATTTTCTATGACTCTGCTAACTATGAATTCTGAATCCATATTGGYGATGCTCTTTGTGATCCTGTCTAATCCATTTGATGTTTTCAATGCCTGTATTTTATTCATCATCTTTTATTAGGATTCAGCAACTGTTTGAAAAGATTCAGTTCCCATTTAAACTAAGTGGACTAAATAAACTTTAAGAGCTGGAAGTGATTGCAGCTGTTAGGAGTAGTTTTCAGATGGAAAATGCTCGGCACACTACAACTTATTTTTTGTGGGTTGGTAAATGATGAATTGGTCCAATGATTGACACAATATGGGCAAATACCCACTAGGGAAAACGAAAAGGAGGAGAATGTGAAGGAGGGATAGATGATAAAGACAAGAGAAAGGAAGAAGGAAGATTTTCAAAGATGAAGGGGGAAATTATTCAATAAAAAGTAAAAATCAATGAAACAATAAGTTTTCTCTTTTCTTTGTTTCCAAGACTGATTGTCCTGCAGGATTTTCTGGGATCTACAGACTGATGGTCTAAATCTTTCCCTCATCCATCTTCCATGGATGCCAGGGCTTCTCAGTTCATAAGTGTGAATCTTGTTCCTGTCACTCATTTGGATTCCTCTGAAGAGAATCAGCTTGCCACCCTCCTGGTAAGTGTCTCTAGGCCACCATTCATTCATTCATTTGCTCAATCCACAAATATTTATTGACTCAATAAATATTGACTTTTCAAAGAACATATATTAGGCAAGAAATTTTAGAACAAATTTCAAAATGTGAACATTAAAAGAAATATTAGTAAATACTCTTAAAGGCATGTATGTAAACCTCTGCTTTGTTCTCCG